TCTTCCCACGGGGAGCTCAGGGATCCCCCTGAGATGTGGGGAAATAAAGCAGTTTTTCATCGTTCATGAGCTTTCTGTCAGAACTTTTCCAAAAAAATCTCTTTTTTTTTTCCCACTGCACTGCCAGACACTCACTGCAAACAGCAGATGTTTGATTTTAGCTCCTTTGCAGGACAGTGCAGCTGGACAGGCATTCCTACTGGAATTCCATGATCAGTGGAGCCACATCCACTTGGAGCAGCTGCTTTAGATTTATTTCAGGGCTTTGTGGGCATTTAATGATTTTGGTTTTTTGTGTTGGAAGTGTCAAATAAACTCTTTGCAGAATTCACATGAAGACTCTACAAGTGTTTCTACATCCACAAAGAGGAGCCTGGTCTTTGAAACGTTTATAAAATACTGGTTAAATTACATTAAATAATTAACTGGGTTTTTTTCTTATTCTCTTACAGCAAGCTACAGCTTTGTGGGATGTACTGAATACCCTTTCTGTGCAGAGGAAAGGTGGTTCATCCTTTCTGTCTCCCCACATTTTGATTTCCACTTGAGGAGGTTTCAGGTAAAAGAATCTTCTCCAGGCTGATAGAACAGATAAGTGGGAAATGGGAGGATGGGCAGAATTTTCACACCTTTTGTGTGAGCTTCACAGTGAGTGTGGGTGTGAAATAGGCTGTAATTTATTTTTCAAGGGTGTGCTTGTCTTTCCTTGATGGAATTATCCCAGCACTCCCCACGTGGCTGTGCTGGGCTGTTTGGGAAGGAGTTTAAGCACCAAGTTCTGCAAGCCACAAAGCTCTGCCAGGATCCCAGAGTCCCAGCAAATGCAACATTTGCTCATCCATTCCTTGATTTCACTCCTCCATTCAGCCCAAATGTGACTCTGTCACACAGAGCAGCCTCATCGTCCTCTCCCTCCAGTTGTCTGCTGCTTTAGGAGCAGATGGTGAGCAGGTCAGCACTGTGTGTGTAATTAGAGCTTTGTAATTAAGGCATGGGCTGGGCAGTGTGCAGCACACCCAGCAGGGTTCTCTGGGCTGTGTCCTGGCAGGGATTTTATGGGGTGGTGCTGTCTGGAGCCAGCAGAGATCCCCAAATCCAGAGAGTGGCTGTGTTAAAGAGTGCAGGACACACGAGTTACGGTCTGGGCTCAGAATCATGGAACCACAGAATCTCCTGAGCTGGAAGGGACCCACAGGATCATGGATCCAGCTCCTGGCCTTGCTCAGACACCCCCAAATCCCACCCTGAGCACCCCTGGGAGCAGTATCCAAACCTTCCTGGAGCTCTGGCAGCCTTGGGAAATGTGCCCATTCCCTGGGGAGCCTGGGCAGTGCCAGCACCCTCTGGGGGAAGAATTTTTCCCTGAAATCCAGCCTAAATCTGCCCTGGCTCAGCTCCAGCTGTTGTTCTCTGCTCCCAGAGAGCAGAGATGGGAACTGTCCCTCAGGAGAAAGCTCCAGGCTGAGATGAGTTTCCCCTCACTCTCCTCCAACAAACCAAGTGCCCTCAGCTGCTCCTCCATGGCCCCTCCAGAGCCTTCGTTGTAGTGTGAATCCAGAATTCCTGCTTTTCCCAGAGAAATTTCCACTATCTATAAAGTCTTAACCTCATCAGAGATCCCAGCCACACCCCAGTGAGGAATTTCATTCCCACCTCTCCCAGTTCCTTTGAGTGCACAGCTGCTGTATAATCCAGGTTTGTTCTTTCCTCCCCAGCCACACTGCAGGGTTTCCAAGAAAACCATTCTGCTGAAAGGAATCTCAGATGTGGAAGAGGATGAAGAAAGTGTGCAGGACATGATTGAAATTCACTTCCAAAAGCCAAGCAATGGTGGGGGGGAGATAGACGAAATCAAATACATCTCCAGAGAAACAGCCTATGTTTATTTTGAGGAGGATACTGGGAATGCCACCTCAGAAATCACAGGGCACTCGTGAAGTTCTGAGGTTTTGTTCCTCGGGGATTTATGTAGATATTGTGCTTTAATGCTTTGAAATGGATCCTGTAGAAAAGGAGTCCCTGCCTTCCTGATTTGTCTCATGGCACTGACCTTGCATTGGAAGTCAGCAAAACTCCCTGCCTGTGCTGCAGATTAAAGCCTTCAGCAGCCCCTGAAACATCTCAGATTCTCTGCAACTTTGCATATTTTATACCTTGTAGGTTTAAAAATACTCCAGAGTGGGATGAGTGGATTATTTCTTACGTTCTGGATACAAAAGCCATATTTAATCCCAATCCAAGCCTCCTCACAGTGCTGCTTTGTTGAAGTGCCAGAGCTTCAGAAGGTGGCTCTGACACAGCTCCAGTCCTGCTGAGGTTGCTGAGTGAAACAATCCTGTAATTTCATAAAAGCTACCTTATTAAATTAGTGATAGAATTAAAATAGAAAATGGGGGTGCAAAACAAAGAAATTGCACTTAAGAAATGCCCTGGTATTTGCTGCCTTTAGCTGTTCGTAGCCTACTTTATTGTTTGATTTTAATATTTGTTTCTGCAATTCAATTGTTTTCCCTCATTTCTGTTCATGATTTTGCTTATTTAAAACTATTTCAGCCAAGGATTGAGCTGATGCTGTACCTGGTTTTGTAACAATGCTGGTGAACAGCCCTGTGGGATCTGGTGATCCCAGGCTGGGAGGGCTTGGACAGAGTAATTTTCCAAGGAGGAATGTTTTTCCTTTTCTGCTGTTGTCCTTGGAAAACAAATCCTCCTCTGACTTTGCACTTTTGCCGTCCTTGGGGGCTGAAACAATCTTAACTCCAAACTAACATGAGCCTGACACTGGAAATAATTTAATTTTGGGGTATTTGACATCTTGATATGCAGGGAAAGGAGAGGAAATACCTCAGGGATTATTATTCCAGACAAACTGTTAATTTGCAATAGATAAAAGTTGAATATGGAAAATGAAAAGGCTGCAATCACCACAGTTTATTTTGAATTTGCTGTCGAGTGAGATACGTGTGACTGTAGCACCTCTCACTGTTTAGGGCATGCAAAGGCAGGGATTGACTACCTGACCACTGTAAAATAATAATAATAATAATAATAACTTCAAACAAAATAGTGCTGAAGTATTTGTGGAGATTGTGCACTTTTGCACTCTCAGAAACTTAGTAAGACCAGACACCTTAAAAAGAGAGGGGGGAAAACCTGAGAAAGGTAAAAATTGTCATGAATTTCAACTGCATCTCACTGATAAATATTGAGAAGTAAATCCTTAAAAAGAAAAAAGCTTAAAATTCTCATAAGGATTAGTGAGAAGCTGCAGGTTTTAAAGCCCAGAAATCAGATTTTTACATTTTAAAGACAGTGTCTGTAAATGTCTTGCCTTTGTCCCTGATGAATTACGGCTTGTGATGTTCAATTTTAAAGCAGCAGTGGTGCTTTAAAGCCTGGAGACTGGGTTTAATGATGGAAAAATAAGAATAAAGTGTCAGTGATGTTTCTGTAAAAGTCAATATCCTTTTTCCCTCCATGCTGGGGTGACTTTCTCTCGGGCCCTTCTCCCTTGTGTCCCTCTCCATGCGTGTCCCTGTCCATGTCTGTCCTTCTCCACGTGTGTCCCTTGTCCATGTCCATGTCCTGAGTGACTGCAGCTCTAACAAAAAAAAAAAAGAATGCAAATTTCTATACTTAAAAATAATTTAAAAAAAAACTCCTCAGACCTTAAAACAAACAAGGCAAAGTAACCCAAAAGTTCTTTCTATACTTTCTAACAAAAACTAAGTACAAGTGTGACTAACTATAACGCGAATTCAACAAAATAAATATGCATTAACCTATTATGAAATTCTATGCATATAAAAATTAATAAAAGTAATTTTAAAAAATCAAAAGTTCTTAAAGATACGCATGTCCATTAAAGGGCAATGAATCCCGACATGCGTCCACAGCGCTATAAATAAACATACACCATATTATAAATATTTTTAATAAACATACCCCATTCCCTACAAATCTTTATTAGAATGATAAAATTTAATTTTTCATCCGCGTTTCAGTCCCTGTGTGTGTGTGTGTGTCCCCGCGTGTCCCCGCGCATCCCGGCGCCCATTCCCGGTGCCCGTTCCCGGTGCCCATTCCCGGTGCCCGTTCCCGGCCCGTTCCCGGTGCCCGTTCCCGGTGTCCGTTCCCGGTGCCCGTTCCCGGGCGGGGCCGCTGCGTTCCCGTCCCCGCCGGGCTGGGGGCGGCTCCGGGGCGGCCCCGCCGCTTCCCCGCCGCTTTCGCTTTCTCTTTCGCTTCCCCGCCGGGCCCGCTCGCTCCGCGCCCTTCCCGGGGGGATCCGCATCCCGGTGGGATCCCCATCCCTTGGATTCCCGTCCCGGTGGGATCCCCATCCCGGTGGGATCCCCATCCCGTGGATTCCCGTCCTGGTGAGATCCTTTCCCGGTGAGATCCCTTCCCGGTGGGATCCCTTCCCGGTGGGATCTCTATCCCGGTGGGATCCCCATCCCGTGGATTCCCGTCCTGGTGAGATCCCTTCCCGGTGAGATCCCCATCCCGGTGGGATCCCCATCCCGTGGATTCCCGTCCCGGTGGGGTCCGCATCCCGGTGGGATCCCCATCCCGTGGATTCCCGTCCTGGTGAGATCCCTTCCCGGTGGGATCCGCATCCCGGTGGGATCCACATCCCGTGGATTCCCTTCCCCGTGGGATCTCTATCCCGGTGGGATCCGCATCCCGGTGGGATCCCCATCCCGTGGATTCCCGTCCTGGTGAGATCCCTTTCCGGTGGGATCCGCATCCCGGTGGGATCCGCATCTCGGTGGGATTCCCGTCGGTGAGATCCCTTCCCGGTGGGATCCCGTCCCGGTGAGATCCCCATCCCGGTGAGATCCCCATCCCGGTGGGATACCCATCCCGTGGATTCCCGTCCTGATGAGATCCCTTCCCGGTGGGATCCGCATCCCGGTGGGATCCGCATCCCGGTGGGATCCCGTCCCGGTGGGATTCCCGGCCTTGTGAGATCCTTTCCCGGTGAGACCCGCATCCCGGTGGGATCCCGTCCCGGTGGGATTCCCGTCCTTGTAAGATCCTTTCCCAGTGGGATCCACATCCCGGTGGGATCCGCATCCCGGTGGGATCCCATCCCGGTGGATTCCCGTCCCGGTGAGATCCCGTCCCGTTGGAGGAGCCATGGTAAGTGCCGGGGCCGGGAGGAGCTGGAAAGGGAACTGGGGAGGGATTGCGGGCAAGGGATGGAGCGACAGGAGCCAGGGAATGGCTCCACTGCCAGAGGGCAGGGATGGGTGGGAGATTGGGAATTGGGAATTCCTGGCTGGGCTGGAATTCCCAGAGCAGCTATGGGTGCCCCTGGATCCCTGGCAGTGTCCCAGGCCAGGCTGGACAGGATTTGGAGCAGCCTGGGACAGTGGCGGGGAGGTACCTGCCCATGGCAGGGCTGGATTGGGATGAGCTTTAAGGTCCATCCCAACCCAAACCGCTCCAGGATTTGCCAGGAAGCCCCTGTAAGACCCGTTATCACCAGAGGTGCTGCCCCACTCCCGGCCCCATTCCCTGCCCCATTCCCTGCCCCATTCCCGGCCCCATTCCCTGCCTGGGAGCAGCTGCTCGGCACAGACGCTTCTCGGGAGTGATTCAGCACCAGCCGTGTGTTTTAGGGATTTTTTTCCCCCCCTAACCCCACTAGCAGGCCCGAGTGTTGCTCCCAAACACCAGCTGGGAAGGTGTGAGCGCTGTCTGGCAGCTCCGGCTGTGCCAGGCGTGAGAAAATCCCGCCTGCATCCCGGAGCATCCTGTTGGTATTCCCTCCATGCCGCCTCCTCGCAGCCGGGACTGGCTCTCACACGAGCCTCGCCGCCGGGATAATTGGCTGCTGTAATTAATTAAAAGCTCTTGGCTCTCGGGATTTGATGGGGTTGTCTCCAGAGACGTGGTGGTCCCCAGGATTTTGGGCAGGCATCGCTCACGCAGCAGCACATTCTGCTCTGGAGCTAGGGTGCTGTTTTAGGCAGCCCAGGCCTAGAAAAAAAACCCCAAAAAACAAACAAACAAACAAAAAGAAACAACTTAAGAGAAGTTTAAAACTTAAGATTAAAACTTAAAGAGAAGTTTAAAACTTAAAGAAAAGTTTAAAACTTAAAAGAAGTTTAAAACTTAAATAAAAGTTTAAAACTTAAAAGAAGTTTAAAACTCAAAGAGAAGTTTAAAGAATTCAGATGGAGTGACTGACCTCAAGTACAGTTACTGACAGCTCCTTCCCCCAAACGCTGCCATGCAGAAAACCCAAATTTATCTCCTTTCTTCCAAACAGTCAGCCAACTGTTCCATGCGGTCAGTGCTCCACAATTTCCACAAAAAAAGGGCAAAACTGCCAGGAATGGGCCGGGAATGGGAGCGGGAGCCTTGCGGGGTAGGAATTTTGGGTCCCCGCTGACGTTGCTGTGTCACAGGCCGCGGGTCGGGCTGGTGGCGGCACGAGGACAGTTGTCATCGGCGGTGTCCCCGTGGGGCTCCTGCAGGATGATCTGCTGGCTGACATCCTCACCATCCACTTCCAGCGCTCCTACAACCACGGCGGTGATGTGCGCCAGGTCACCTTCCCCACCCGCTGCCCGGGCGTCGCCTTCGTCACCTTCGAGGACCCGGAAGGTATTTCAGTCAGTGTGCTTGTCCTAGTCTGGAAAAACCAAAAAAAAAGTCAGAAATACAATTTATTAGGAAAAGGGGACAAAGAAGCAAATACATACAATAGCACAAAAGAAGGACTGACAGAGTTAGGGATATAACCTGACACTCGCTGGCTGGGGTGGTGGTGGCAGATTTGGCTCTGTCCGAGCAGTGCTCCTGCAGACTGATGGAGTTTCCCTCTGGAGGTCCAGTGTAGAGAAGGTCTCAGCTGTTCCTCTTGGAAATGGGGATTTATTTGCTGTCTGCACAACCCCATTTATATCCTTGATGGCATCATTTGGCTCCTCCCTCTGGGCGGAGCATCTTGTTTCTGTCGAGGACGGGAATGAAAAGACTCTGACTCCAAGGCTGCTGAGAGTAAAACTCTGATTTATTCAAAATACACTGCTCTTTTATACAGAGCTTTGTGAGGATCAATTCCATTGCTCCTGGAGTGAAAACTCTTTTAAATATTACTGGGAGGCTGAAGCCTCTCTGGTCATGGGGCCAAGATTCAGGATTTTGTTTCTGCTCCTTGGGGTAATGACTCACTGGCCATGCCAAGCGTTGTGTTTGTGTGGCAGGAACAAATTCTTGTTTAAAAAAATATTTTTTTTTTTTAATGCCAGGAATAATGGATTTATTTTGTAGCCAGGCTGTGGGGGATAAATCTCTGCCCGTTTGTGTGCCAGGGAGATGGGCTCATGTCTCTCTGAGCAGTTGGTGTGACAAATGAAATGTGAGGTGAGAAGCTGGAGGTGCCCAGTTCACTGCTCCACTGGTGCCTCAGGTTTTGGCTTTTATTTATTTTTTCAGGCTCTGTGTTGCTTTATTGTGCAGCTCTGAGCTTCACATTCAGTGTTGGTGAGCAGGAAGACAAAACAATTCCTGCTCCAGCTGGGCACCAAGGACAAATGATCCAAATCTCAGCCCAGGAGCACAAACACCGTGGGCTGGAGAGAGAAAAACAAGCAGGGTGGGACTGCCTGGGCTAAAGCTGGAATGGGACAATGAACTGCAAGGTGCCAATGGAGCAGAACTGATCATTTTGTGACCAATCATCCATTTTTTGGGACCATTTTGGTTCATTTGGGTGCAGCCCTGGCTGGGCTCTGGTGCTGCCCAAGGTGGATCCATGGAGGAGATAAATTTAATAAATCCTTTGAATAAATCCCTGCTTTATTCTGTGGCTCTGCCCAGCCCCTGCTCCAGGGCAGCCTTTCCAACCAGTGAATTTGTTTGTTTGCAGTTGTGGAGCGCGTTCTGAAGAAGGATCAGCATCTCCTGCAGGACCAGAGGCTGCCCAGGCCCTTCCCCCTGACAGTGACCCGCTACTGCCACAACGTGAGCTCCTCCCTAATGTCATTAGCACGGCTTTAATTGAAGGCATGGGACCCCAGTGGGGCTAAAAACCATTTATTGCTCAGATAAACATCAGTCTTAGATGCTGTGAGATTTAAGAGAGCAGCCATAAGAAATGTTATTTGTCCAAGGCAACATAGAAACTTTCTAACCCAATGGGCAGCTGCCACAAGGTTTATTTTGCTTTTCTAACCTCCTTTACTCACTTCTGCAGCAATGAATTTACTTTTATCAATGGGCTACTGTCACACGTACACACAGATGCTTCTGTTATAACTTCTAAACTCTCAGCTTACTCTATATAATTTCATTTCTACATTATAAACCCTTCACCATCCTATTGAAACAATTTGTCACTTACTTAAGGCATATTCTTACTTACAAATATAGAAACATAAGTTTTTGATTTTTCTGCTTAGTGTGTGTATTATATTTTTACATCAATCCAAGCTTCTTCCAAGGCTGCAGATCAAACCCTCCTGTGCTGTGCAAGTTTCTATCCTTCAATTTCCCACACCTAATTCATCTAGTTATGTTAGCATTCAGGAACACACAGAATCACAGGATTTGATTCTCTGCAGGTGCTTTTATTGAGAGCTCTGGGATCAGGGGTCCAGACCCAAATCTGACTCCGACACGGCTTTCGAGCTGAACGTATTTTATATTCTATCCTTATATAACTTACATATTAATTATTAAACTTATATTGTTCTATTGTATACATTGACTTTATTCAACCATGAGTTTCTCGTGATTTTTCTTAAGCTTCTGACCACAGTTTCTGATGATTATTCTTTCAATTAAACAGTAATTATATTTAATTACTAAACAATCATCATATCTGACAATTATATCATTTATCATATACTAGCTACACAGGTATAGTTCTAGCAAGGTGCAAGGCCCACGTGTTCCCAGGGTGTGGCAAGCACATTTCTCTCCCTCTCAGGATTTTCCATAGAGGTGCACAGAGAGAAATGAAAGAGAAAACAATTTCTATTTCTGCTCCTTGTTTTCCCATGTGGAATGTGTTTGGAGAATTGTTCCCTGGGGTGATGCTTGGTTGAATTCTGGTGAGGATTGTTTGAGCTGATGGCCAATCCAACCCACTGGGGCTGGACAGAGAGAGGGTCATGAGTTATGAGTTAGAGTCAGAGAAAGTAGGATGTAGTTTTAGTATCCTCCTTTTATATAGTATATTAATGTATTTTAGCATAGTTATAATAAAGAAATAATTCAGCCTTCTGAATTGAGTCAGACATTGACATTTCTTCCCGTTGTGTTCACCTGTATTTACAATACCAGGGTATTTTTTTCAGGGCCTACTAAGCTTAATTTTCCTTCTAACCCTAAATCCCCATGATTTAAAAACCCTTTTACTACCAGTTATGCTTAATGCCTCATTAACTTCTCCCATTCCCAATTGCAGGCCTTCCTCTGGGTCTCGTGCACGCTCAGCCTGGCTGTTTTCAGAGACCACTTGAGCTTGGAAGATTTGCTGGAGGAGATGCAGAAGCAGAACCCAGGCTTGAGTTTTGGGGCTCTGCAGCCTGATGGGCAGATTGTTGTGCAGGGCTCCTTCCCAGAGCTCCGAGTGCTGAGAGAATTCCTCGTGCTCAAGGCAAAATCCCTGCCAGAAGAGCCCCAAAGAGAGGGAAAACCCCAGCAGAGAGCCAGGAGGAAGCTGCAGGAGCTCAGAGGTGTTGCAGAGATGAGGAATTCCACTCGGGATGCACAGAGGGAAAAGCAAGTGCTGGTTCTGGACACGGATATTTATCACTACGTGATGTGCTTCCCTCCCAGAGCCCTCCAGGGAAATGATGTTGTCATTTCTGGTGTCACTGATGGTGACATCACCACGGTGAGCATTGAGAGTGCTGCCAGCAAAGCTGGTGTTTTACAGGGATTAAAGGCCAAGAAAACCATTGAAAATTACTCCGTGGAGCTGCAGAAGATGTTGAGGAAGGAGAGGATCTGCCTCAAGGAGCACGGCAGGGCTGAGAAGCAGAGGTACAAACAGCTCTGCAGAAAGCTGAAACCTCAGTACCCCAAAGTGCTGATCATCCCCTGTGACACCCACATTGACCTCGTGGGACCTTCTGCAGATGTTTTTGGGTTCACAGAGGAGGTGAAGAGGCACTCCAGGTAGGAGCGAGGGTTCCTGGAGTTTGGATTGCTCACCCAGACTGTGCCTGTGGCCCCGTGGCACTGGGATGTCACTTTGTCCCACTCACAGGCTGGCAGCTCTGCAGGGGAGGGTGACCAAGCCTGGCCCCCCACAAATACCAAATTTAGGTCAGAACAAAAAAAAATCAATGATCTCTGTATCTTTCATGAGCTTGGGGATCTCTTCTCCCCAGAAACAGCTACATTTCATTTTGGTACCTCAGTGCATTCTCATCCAACTTGCTGTCAAGGAGTACATGATGAGAAAAGAGTTTTTTTTTTTTTGTTTTTTTTTGTTTTTTTTTTTTTTAAGCTGGGTGTGCCAGCCATGTAGGAAACATTGCAGGGAAGTTCTGTGTGAGGTTCTGTGAGGAGGTGACCACAGCAGCCAGGAATGGGGACCTTTCCTGTGCCTTTATCTGCACAGGGACCCTTGGGAAGAGAGCTGGGACACTTGGCAGAGCAAAACACACCTGAAATGTGCTTGAGAAAGCCTTGAAAATTCTTCCCTGCAAGAATCAGTCAAGTTTGTTTTCATAGGAGCAATAATGGGGTTTTCTTCCAGCTATAAAGGCTTCTGCAGCATCTCCTGACAGCTCATTATTTACACATGAAAGTGTGTCCAGAGATTTGATGGGAAAATTTGGGGCCGTTCAGACTTTGGAATCAGGTTCTGTTTATGCAAATCTGTTTCTGTATCCATTAGAGGGGCACAAACGGGTTTTTTTTAAACCAATTTAGAAAACAGCTTTTATTTTGTGATATCTGTGTGTTTAGAATCATTTGTCAGAACATCCAGAACAGCTTTTCTACCTGATGTGCAGGGCAAGTTTTAGGGGTTTATGCCATTAAAGAAAAGAGTTGTCCAAAACATTGTGTCTGTGCTATTTTAACCTAATCCCAGATTTTTTGCTTGGAAGCCCAAACCTGAAGCCCAAGAAATGCTCGAGGCATTTTCTTGTCATGACTGATTCTCCATTGCAGTGGTGTCAGTTAAAGCAATATATTAAAAATAACTGTCAAAGCAGCAATTGATGAGCTTAAGTGCTTTGCTGAACTGGGAGAGAGATATTTAAAGGTACTTGATAGGGAGCAATATTTAAAGATATTTAATAATAATAATAGTAAATAATAGTAATTAATAATAATAATAATAATATCCATCATTTCCAAGTTCCCCTGTGCTCTGCAGGTTCTCCAGGGGGCTCAGGGATGGGAAACTCTGGAAAACTCCCCCTGGAGCTCTTTGGGGTCATCCTCACAGAACCCAAGCAGAGATGAGAAGTTTTTCAACCTTGTCAGAGAGAAAATCCTCTATGAAGGGTAATCCTTTAATGAAATTAGTGCTGCTTCCCAGTGTCCACATTGAGCTTCTCATTTTTTTTTTCTGAAGAGCCTCATGTTTTATTTTTTTTTTCCCCGATTCAGAGCTTTGGTATTTCCTATTTGCTCGACAGGCAGACCAGTGGCACTGGTGTCTGTGTGAGCCCTGGCTGGTTGCTGCTGCCTGGGGGTGGATTTTGAGTCACTTTTGGCATCAGCACAGCTGGCAGCAGCACTTCAGGTGTCCTTCAGGTCTGGTTTTCTGCCAAACAGCTCCTGCTCACCCAAGGATCTGCAGCCACGACCTCAAAACCTTGGAATCACAGCTGAATAAAATGTTCTTTTCGAATGCTGGCTCAGCTGGAGCAGCTCCTCTCCACATCCCCTTTGCCCCCACGTCCTTGGCACCCCTTCAGCATTATCCCATTGTTCCAGGGCTCTCCATCTGCTGCTTTTATTCACAGGATGGAGACAAAAAGAGCCTTTTTGCCTGGGCTGTTTTGTTTGTGGAGTGCTTTGGGAAGAGGCATCTGGGGGTGGTGGCTGGGGAATGAGGAGCAGAGGAGCTCTTGTGCTCCAGGGCTGCTTTTCCAGCTTGGATTTGGCTGGGAATGCTCCACCTTTGGCCCTGGGATGGATCCAGGGCTGGTGGTTTCTGAATCACAACCAGAACAATATCACCAGTGAAACACTCATTCCTTCCCTCACCATGCAGATTCCATGGAAAACAAAGGATATTTAGCTAAAACCCCTCCAATCTGGTCATGGCCATGAATATTCCAACAAATCCAACCAAGCAAACCCGTGTTAGGGCTGCTCAGGGATTTGCCAGCTCTCCTTCTCACAGTTATTTTTATGGCAAGCAAGGCTCTTCTGTCTCTATGAAATTCCACTTGAAAAATATTTGTGTGTGTTTTGGATAATATCTGGGGAAACAGCTGTTATTCCTGGATCTGTTGGTTGACTCAGGACTCTCAGGTTTGCACATTAATCTGAATAAAAAACTTCCTCAGGAGACCTCAACAAAATATTTGTGCCCTCACTCGCTGCCCTTCCCTGGAAGGGGAGAAACAAGAGCTGTAATAATACAAAGCCTAATTTTGATTTGAGGCACGACTCCAACTGGAAAATAAATATAAAAAACAACTTAAGAAGGCAGAAATAGCAGTAGAATGCGAGCTCAGTTCCTGGCAGCACCTGGCTAAAATCAGTGGTGAAAACACCTTAAAAAACACCTTAAAAATGCCTTAAACCCATGAGGATTTGAGGGACATCCCTCATCAGGAAAATATTGGCCAATTTGGAGGCTAAAGCAATGATGGAACAGAACCCTTCAGCATCCCTGACACAAAGGGGAGGGAGGACAAAGCCTCCCCTGCTCCCCATAGTGCCTGTGCATCTTGGGGAAGGATGGATGCCATTCCTGCAGGAACCAGGTTTTTCCATGTGGGAAAAAAAAGCCCTTTCTGCAGATTTCTTGTCCCCCTGCCACCTTTGAGCTGCTCTCAAAACTTTGTGCGTTTGCTCCGAGTGCACAAACTGCAGAAGAGCTGTCACATCTGCTGAAAAAAATTGCCATCCCCAGAGGAATATTCTGAAGGAATATTCTGCTTTTGAGAGCCTTGTGGTTTATTTAAAAATAACCCCCAGAACGATGTGGAAGAAAAATAAACAGTTAATAACAATTATCTCATTATCTGAGGCAACTTTCACACCCACGCCTTTGTCAGGCCACGCTGGAGGCTGGGGAGCATCCAAGCCAGGTGAAAATGGGAATATTTCCCGGCTGAGGGGGGTTGGTTGGTCCTTGCAGCCATCCAGGCGTGGATCCCACCTGGAGAGAGGAGATGGATTTAGCAGGGATCTGCCTTGGCTCCAGGAACAAACTCAGATCTTGTGCCAGAGAAAAGCAGCTGTGACCCTGCCCAGGGGGCTGGAAATGCTGGGAAAGGCCGGGAAAGGCCGGGAAAGGCCGGGAAAAGCCGGGAAAGGCCGGGAAAGGCGGGAAAGGCCTGAAAAGGCGGGAAAGGCCTGAAAAGGCGGGAAAGGCCTGAAAAGGCCAGGAGAGGCCAGGAGAGGCCTGGAGAGGCCTGGAGAGGCCTGGAGAGGCCTGGAGAGGCCGGGAAAGGCCTGGAGAGGCTGGGAAAGGCTTGGAAAGGCCAGGAAAGGCCTGGAAAGGCTTGGAGAGGCCAGGAAAGGCCGGGAAAGGCTTGGAGAGGCCAGGAAAGGCCGGGAAAGGCCTGGAAAAGCCGGGAAAGGCTTAGAGAGGCCAGGAAAGGCCGGGAAAGGCCGGGAAAGGCCTGGAAAGGCCTGGAAAAGCCGGGAAAGGCCGGGAAAGGCGGGAAAGGCCTGAAAAGGCGGGAAAGGCCTGAAAAGGCGGGAAAGGCCTGAAAAGGCCGGGAGAGACCGGGAGAGGAATGGAAAGGCCGGGAGAGGCCTGGAAAGGCGGGAAAGGCCTGGAAAGGCTTGGAAAGGCCTGGAAAAGCTTGGAAAGGCCAGGAAAGGCTTGGAGAGGCTGTGAAAGGCTTGGAAAGGCCGGGAAAGGCTTGGAAAGGCCGGGAAAGGCCGGGAAAGGCCGTGAGAGGCTTGGAGAGGCCTGGAAAGGCCGGGAAAGGCTTGGAAAGGCGGGAAAGGCCTGGAAAGTCGGGAAAGGCCTGGAAAGTCGGGAAAGGCCTGGAGAGGCCGTGAAAGGCTTGGAAAGGCTGGGAAAGGCCTGGAAAGGCTTGGAAAGGCCAGGAAAGGCTTGGAAAGGCCTGGAGAGGCCTGGAAAGACCTGGAGAGGCCGGGAAAGGCTGGGAGAGGCCTGGAAAGGCCGGGAGAGGACTGGAAAGGCCGGGAGAGGACTGGAAAGGCCGGGAGAGGACTGGAAAGGTTTTCTGCATTGCTCAACCCTTCTGAGGTGGCTTCTTCCTCACATCCAGGGTGTTCCGGGATCCATGGTTTCATTCCAAATAACTCCTCGGGGCTCCTTCCCTGCAGTTAGCAGTGAAAAGATCTTTTCCACCTCTCTCTTTTCAGTCAGGAGCACTGAGAAATCCCATGGGGGTGCTTGACCACCTTCACCTAAATTAGAGGATGGGAGTCTTCCCAGACTTCTGCAGCAGCTGCCTGAAGATAACCAGGCACCCTGGCCAAGGGGATCAAAAATCATCATTAATTTTAATTATGACTTAAAGCAAACCAGAAAAAAATCGGGTATGACTACACAATTCAGAACTGACAGCACGTGGTCTGCTTGTGCTTACTTTTTCCTTAGTTGTAGGAGTTGTAGAACATCTGCTGGAAAACAAATCCCTTTTTCTACTTTCCTAACACAGCTTTCCTTTGTCTCCTGACACCCATTAATGACCTTTGAAGAAATCTCCTGAAAGGAACTTGGTTCAGGAAAAAAACCACCTCTGGGCTGTTGCATTAAAAGCAGTTTCCAGGTGGATTTCCCCTGTCCTGTGTTGCTCCTGCCTTTGTCATGAGAGCAGTGGGGCTCAGCAGCTGTGGGAAATGAATTTGTAGAGAATTCTCTCCTGGTGTTGCAAAAGCAACAATTATAGTGTATTGTAATTAGGAAATAGTTAACTTCTGATTGTGATGGGGTGAATTATAACATCTGCATTGTCTCACCTTTCACATGGGACTGAAAATGGAATAAAAGGTTTTAAAACACCTCTGTTACCCCATCTCTAAGGCAGAAAAGGGCCTAATCCAACAAGTACCTGCCACCCAGAATACCAAAGGGGAAAAAAAACTGGGATAAAATACTGGAGAAACAAAGTTCTGTTGTGTTTGTACAGCAATAATGGGGTTTTCTTCCAGCTATAAAGGCTTCTGCAGCATCTCTTGACAGCTCGTTATTTACACATGAAAGTGTGTCCAGAGATTTGATGGGAAAATCTGGGGCCGTTCAGACTTTAGAATCAGATTCTGTTTATGGAAATCTGTTTCTGTATCCATTACAAGGGCACAAACGGGGTTTTTTTAAAACCAATTTAGAAAATAGCTTTTATTTTGTGATATCTGTGTGTTTAGAATAATTTGTTTTATTTGGGAATAGTTTCATGCTCCTGAAATCCCTGCAGAAGGAATGCCGGGGGTGGGATGGTGCAGGAAAAGTGAGATTTTCCACGCTGGGATTTTCTCAGCTGACCCTTGATGGAGCTGCTGGAGATGCTCATCCCATTCCCAATTTCCCTGGGAGCAATGGGGTGATCCCTGTGAGCCCCAAGGTGCGGATTTGGCCTTTTTGGGGTCACTCAGCCACCGCTGGGTCCCTCCTGGGGATGGGGACAGGAGCAGTGCCACCAGCCCGAGCTGGTCCCATCCTCCTCCTCTTCGGAGGACACCAGAGGGAGCCAAATGCTTTGGAGCTGCAATTCCAATTCTGCGCCGGGTCCTGCCCGGGTTCTGCTCCGGCCTGGGGCTGCTGGAAACCGAGCTCAGATCGCCTGTCCCTGGAGGAGATGCTGGGATCAAATCCTGTTTCATCCTGACCTCACCTCACCTCCCACTGGAGATTTTGGGATCAGGTCCCGCTCCATCCCTGAGCTCAGCTCA